GCAATTTCATAAAGACAGAAAGTAGGTTAGAGTCTACCAAGGGTTGCAGTGAAGTGGGAATGGGGAATTATTCCTTAATGGGTACAGAATTTATATTTAGGTGATAAAAATTTTGGAAATAGGTAGTTGTGATGGTTGTATAACATTGTAAATGTTATTGATGCCATTCAATTGTACACTTAAAGTGGTTAAAATGACACATATTAATGTTATATACATTTTGCCACAATTAAAGTAAAAGACTGAAGCACTGACACGTGTATAACATGGACAAACCTAGTAAACATTATGCTATACAAAAAAAAGAGAGACACACATAGCCACATATATGATTCCATTTATGTGAAATGTCCAGAATAGGCAAATCCAGAGAGAGAAGGGCTGCAGAAAGGTGCATATAGGAATTAATTTTGAACAAGTATGACACTAGGTAATGATGATGGTTGCACAACATTGTGAGTATAATAAAGCCACTGAATTGTACAGTTTAAAATATTGATTTTTATGTTATGTAAATTTAATCTCAGTTTCTTAATTATTCAAAAATGATGCCTCTGTTTCATCACTAGGTTAATATTGCATCACTTCTACCTTTTGCTTAGAATGTATTCATATGAAATAATAATATGGAAATATCATTCAAGACTACTATCATTAGGAATAAATGCTACAGGGAAAATCGATGGGTATATAAAAATTATGGCTCAGACAAATATGAAAATGACAAGCGTCTCCAGTACATAAAGTCAGGAATGCAGAAATAAATGATTCATTATTATTAGATTGAGAAATGTTAAAGGGAAGGTGGTAAAACATTGGAATGGATGATAGATGTAAGATATAAAGAACTTTTACCAAGCAAATGGGAACTCAGATTTTAAAATATGTCAGAAAAAAATACTCATATAAATATTATGGGGGAGAATTGTTTGGAAATGTTCTGCTTGTAGAATAGGCCTTTTATACTGTTAATGTCTGGAAGACATAGTCTTGTCAGTCATTTTTTTTTTAATCAAACTTTAAAGAGTTCTTTCTGAGCTCCATTTAAACTCAAACATTGCTGGGAGAATACCAAGGAAAGGAGAAGAAATACCACTTAAGAAACTAAACAAATTTAAATATACAATAAAAATCATTTTTATCCAGCCTAAATAGTTCTCTAATTATCTCAAGGTAACCTTCAAGAAGCAATAACCTCCCCAGTTAGCCGTACTTCAGAGATTTTACTGTATAGGATATCATTATAGCCTTCAAAATACATTTGAAAGACATGATGTTGAATTTACTGACTTAAAAAGAGTTTTATATCATAGTTGGAAAAATACATTGTAGTACCAACTGCTTTTAACATATGAATTTCACTCAAAACCTTTTTCGCCCACAATTCTCAGGCTTGCTTTTTATTCATTTATTTCTCATTTTCACTGAGGGCTTGTAGTGAGTTTCTGCTCTGCCTGTATGCAAATATTCACCTGATTTTAAATGCAGGATTTAATTTACTAAATGCATGACAGATGTGTTTTAAATGATACGATAAATGGTAAAAGTAAACTACACATCATGATTTAGTGCTATCATTTTAAAGTATTAGAATTTAAGTTGCTTTCTTGTTGCTTCCTTATTTTTGTAAAAATAAACCATATTTTGTAAAAAGAGGGTCTGCTCAATGATTTCAGTTGTGAGAAAAGAAGACTAGACCAGATTTCACTTGTTTTATTTCAAAATTCCTCTTTGGTCTTAACCTCTTCATTAGAATTACACCTTATGATGTGCAGCATAATGAAAATGAGTTTTTATTTAAAGGTACCCTGTTAAGGGGGAGGGCATAGCTCAAATGGTAGAGCACACGCTTAGCATGTACAAGGTCCTGGGTTCAATCCCCAGTTCCTCCTATAAAAAAACATATAAATAAATAAAATAAACCTAATTACCTCTCTCCACCAAAAAATAAACTAAATAAAATCAATCCATCTTTTATCTATTTGTGTTTTGTACATGCCTCTATTTGTTTGCAATAGATTTATCACATTTTAAAAATATAAAGTAAAATAAACAGCAATAAATAATAAACAATAAATAATAAGGTGAGAAAAAAATCAAGAGCATGATTTGAAAGTGGACCCAGGAATTACACAATTTGAAGCATTTCATTATTTATTTTAACATTTTTTAATTGAGTTATAGTCATTTTACAATGTTGTGTGGAGCATTTCATTATTAATGTTCATGCACTCATTAAAGATGAAATTTACATTTAGTTTAATACAAGTTTCCTTCCAAAAGTATGAAATGGCAAAAACAATCAAGTTATGCACAGTGTTCATTAGATAAAAATAAGGCAATTGCTTAGGAAAGTACAAACACGGTTTGTATGAAGAATAGAATCTACTGAGAATCCTAGTAAAGAGAACACTGAACTAAAACAATCTCAATACCGTTAGAGAAGACATTATAGTAATAATACTATTGCTAGTTATATTGTGCAGACTAAACAGCACTCGTTTTCCAAACTATTTTAGATGTATTTAATTTAATCCTCACAAAAAACAATGAGGTAGCTACTACTGTTATTCTCATTTACAGAGGAGGGGACCGAGTCACAAAGAAGAGCTCAAAGATTGTCATTCTAAGTGAAGTAAGCCAGAAAGAGAAAGAAAAATATCATATACCACTTCTATGTGAAATCTGAAAAAAAGACACAGATGGACTTATTTACAAAACAGAAACAGAATCACAGACATAGAAAACAAACTTATGGTTACCAGGGGGAAACGGGAGGGTGGTAAGGGATAAACTGGGAATCTGGGATTTGCAGATACTAACTGCTATATATAAAACAGATAAACAAGTTTCTATTGTGTAACACAGGGAACTATATTCAATAGCTTGTAATAACCTATAATGGAAAAGAATATGAAAAGGAATATATGTATGTATTTGTACGACCGAAACATTATGCTGTACACCAGAAACTGACACATTGTAAGTGACTATACTTCAATAATAATAAAAAAGATCTGCCCAAGGTTATGCAGGTTATGCAGAGTAAAAGGAAGGATCAATATTTTAACCCAGGCAGTTTTGCTTCCGATTCTAGGGTTCTTGAACATCACAGTCTATCTTTCCATTCTATTAATATCAAAAATGATAATAGCAGCCACTAGTTACTGGGTTCTTACCATGTGCTAGGCACTCTTTCACTTTAACACTCTGAGGTCAAAATTATTTTCCCTTTGCTACAGATGAGGCAACTGAGGCATGCCTCAAAGAGATTAAATAACTTGCCAAGATCATAAGGCTAGTAAGTGGCTGAGCCAAAATTCAAAGGGAGTTCATTCTCTTAGGTACAGCACTATGTTGTTTCCTAGGTATACCATTTAAATCTACAATAGAATATAACCATGTGTGTGTGTAACAGAACAAATGGCATGTTAATTAAAACCAGAATTGGTGTACCTGTCTGCATTCTAAAGAAAGTGGCATATGTCCCATCAAAAACAAATAAATCTTTCTGTAATTCTTCCATCCCCTGGTCAGGGAGGAAGACGAGATTGTATAAATGCTTGCAACTGTTTAGCTGAATGAATTAGTGACTATTTGTACATGCAAAAATAATTTTACAGCTAAATAAGAGTAGAGAGGTAAAATGTTCTGCAAAATTAGTTCTTCAAGGACAGGAAACAGGGAAGACTGGTAAGTGGAGTTTGTAAGGAAGGACATAACTGAGAACCCCCTCACCTAATTCAAACCTTCTGTCAGGCTTGAACCTACTGAATTCTTGTGAGGGTGACACTTTTAGAGGAAAGGGGCCTATGTTTTGTGGCTAGTTTGGCTGTGAACAGAATAAAGTCAGCACAGGAAGGCTAGTAAGTTGAAAAAGTTTGGAGATCTCTTATGGATATAGGGCTCCTTGTTCATATCAGGCAGAGTTTTAGCCAGGTGTGTGCTTACTTATGTTTATATTCATATAATTTATCTGTAAGCATACCTTTTATATAAACACACAAACACACACACACATGCACGCACACACACACACACACACACATACAAATTGGCAGCAAAGGCAATTGCATGTATCATGGTTTGCCAGAATTAAGAGGCAAGAGATAAGGAAAGAGGCTCAGAATATAATTTTTGTGCTTTCATCAGACAGGATTTAAATCAAAATATCTTTAGTCTTTTTTCTGGCTACCCTACTTTTGTAGAAGTTGTATGCTGTTTTGATTGTCTTGAATGTCCTTTCCAATTATATTTAATCTAGACTTAGTTTAAATATCCCTGGTTACAGAATCAATGCAAAAAATTAATAATGTTAGCAATTTTTCCCCCGGTACTTAGTTTGCTGTAAGAGGATACATATAGAATTAGTTCTCTTCCTTAAATTTCCTTGGAATTTTCTCATCATACTGGGTCAGCATGTGGAGAATGGAAATGGCCCATGTCATTCCACCACAGGAAATATGTAGCTGAAATGTCCCCAAGGTTTTGTTTGTGTATTTACATGTTTGGAGGGTAATTTCTTACCATTATTCACCCCTTTTTCCTTCTGACATTCAGAGCCTGCATCTTGCCTGTTAATTACACCTGAAGACAAAATTGCTGTGATCAGTTCTCCAATGTGACTGGCAACTGACTAATCAAAATATAAAGATGACAGAGGTTGTGGAGGGTTAATTTTCAGCTCACCAAAGTGCTGCACTCTTGGCTTTTCCATCAGCCTCATTGTGCAAGCTGCCTGCAACTACATTAGCAACCATCACTGACTGGTTGTCTCTGGGTCAAGCTTTTCTGATCATGGTGCTCTAGACCTGCATATCAGTTCATTGTCTTTATCCAAACTTAATTATAACCAACCTTCTCCAAGTATTTTTTAAGGCAGAAAATTTAAAAAGCACAAATTAAAATTTTCCAGAGCCACTGCTTCTTAACTGCCTCTTTCTGTTATCAGGTTCACCTTTGAAATGGTAGTGAAGCTCCTTTACACTCAAGTTGGAGGGGAGGGTATAACTCAGTGGTAGAGTGCTTGCTTGGTGTGCATGAAATCCTGGGTTCAATCCCCAGTATCTCCATTAAAAATAAATAAACAAACAAACAAACCTAATCACCCTCCACCAAAAAAAAAAAAGAAATGTTTAAAAAATGGTCTAGGTTTTAATGAAGTGTTTTACTGTGCATACCCAAAAAATGTGGACTTTATGGAATAAATCCTCTGCTCTAAGCTATGCCTCAGATGGCACTGTTTAGATGTATAAAATAATTAACCCTTTACTGAGGTGAGTATGTCCTGCTTAGGCAATGCTCTCCTACTCAGTTCTTGGTTACTTAAGAATTTCACAGAAACATAATTTTCTTTTTGCACGTAGATCAGTCTTGCTTGCAAGTAAGCATATACTCCATGTGAATATAAATCTATCCTGGTCATTTAAAAAATATTATCGCTTAACTGAAAACTAATCCATAGTAAGACTTTATACTTTATGGTTTAACCTGTGGCTGTCCTTAGAAATGATAGTTGAGAAAAGGTTTGGCCTTATTCATTTATTTCAATTATGCTTTATTTCACCTGCTTTTCCTTAGTGTGCACACACACACACACACACACACACACACACACACACACACACACACACTAGACAAGACTGAAATAAGCAAATACGTGCAGCACATAAATTTATCCATGCTATAGACAGTATTTGTGTTCCCCTATAATTCATATGTTGAAACCTAACAGCCAAACTGATGGTGTTTGGATGTGAAGCCATTGGGAGGTGATGAGGTCATGAAAGTAGTTCTCATAAATAGAATTAAGTTTTTGGTCAGAAATTACACAAGCCAGAAGACAAGAGAGAGGCATCCTTAAAGAACTGGAAAAAAAAATTTCAATATGAAACTCTCCAGCCCCAAGGAAAACATCTTTCAAATATAAAAGCAGAGTTAATAGTTTTTTAGATAATGAAAGTGAGATAATTTATTACCAGGAGATCTGCACAACCGGAAATATTAAAGGATGTTTTTCAGGCAGAAGCAAAATATATCAGATGGAAATCTGGGTCTATTAAAAATTAATTTAAAAAAACATAAAATTGATAAAAAATATGCAAACATTAAGGAAGATAATGTTTCTCACTTTTAATTTTAAGAAATTTATTGAGATATAATTTACACACACTATCACCCATTTAAGATGCACAGTTGAATGGCTTTTAGTATAGTTACAGAGTTGTGCAAGCCAAAATCACAGTTTATTTTAGAACATTTTAATTACCTAAAAAAGAAATTCTGCATGACTTAGCTGTTAATCTCTGCAGTAGCTTGAATAATATTGCCAAAAAATTCATGTCCAGCCAGAACCTCTGAATGTGATCTTATTTGTAAGAGGTATCTTTGCAGATGTAATTAAAGATCTCAATATGGTATCGTATTAGATTTAGACTGAGCCATAAATTGGAAAAATGGTGTCCTTGTAAGAAGAAAGGAGGACACGGAGACACACACAGAAGGCAGCAATGTGAAGATGGAGGCAGAGATTCAAGTGATGGGTCTACAAGGCAAGATGTGCCAATGATTGATGGCAACTGCAGAAGGTAGGAGAGAGAAGTGAGACTGTTTCTCCCTCAGAGCATCCAGAAGGAACCAATCCTACTGATACCTTGATTTAAAATTTCTGGCATTCTCCAGTTTGTCCATTTCATCAATATTGTCTTATGTAATTGCATATATTGTTGTTCATAATATTCAAATTCTTTTTATTTCTTTAAACTTGGTAGTAATGTTACCTTTGATATTCTTGTTTTTAGTAATTTGTCTTCCGTTTTTCTTCTTTGTACGGTAAGAAAAATTGTATTGATTTTGCTAATATTTTCTAACTTTTGCTTTCACTGAATTTATCCACTGTTTTCCTATTTTTCAATTTCAATATTTTCTCCCTTCTGCTTTTTAGGCTTATTTTGCTCTTCTTTTTTCAGTGTCTTAATGTGAAAAATTAGACTGTTAATTTGAGAGCTTCCTCCCTTTTTAACAGTCATTTACAGATATAAATTTCTCTCTAAGAATTGTTCCCCTTGTATCCCAGAAGTTTTGGTATATTGTGTCGTTTTTATTTATCTCAAAGTATTTCTAATTTCCCTCTTCTTTTTTTAAACATCGGTTGTTTAATACTGTGTTGTTTAGTTTCCATAAAACTTTGTAAATTTCCCAAATTTCTTTGTGTTATTAATTTCTAATTCTGTGACTGGAGGACAGACTTTGTATTTTGATCTTTAACATTTATTGAAAATGTATATATATATATACAGAAAAAATAGAACTTAATTTAAAAAAATTAAAAAAAATATTGAGGCTTATTTTATAACCTACCATATGGTCTGTCCTAGAGACTACCCCATGTGCACTTGAGAAAAATATGTGTTATGCTATTATTGGGTGGCGTGTTTTGTCACTATATATTAGATATGGTTGGTTTATAATTTTATTCAAATTTTATATTTCCTTATTAATCTTCTTTTTCTAGGACACAGAATAGAAAGGAATACTTTCCAAGGCATTTTTTTAGGCCAGCATCATCTTGATACCAAAACTAGACAAATGTATTACAAGAAAACATATTTATAATCCCATATAACTCATAAATATAAAACTAAAAATCCTCAACAGGATTACAGAAAATTGAATTCAGCAATACACAAAAATGATAAACATCATAGCCAGGCAAAAGTTATCCCAAGAATTTAAGATTAGGTAAACATTTGAAGAACAAATTTATTAACCATATCACCTAATTTAAAAAGAAAATAATGTAATCATTACAATAAAAAAAAGGTACTTGACAAAATTGAGCATCTATTCATAGTAAAAACTCTCCACAATCTCACGAGGAATTTCCTAAATTTGATGATAGAGTTCCACAAAAATTTAACACCATACTTAATGATAAAAAACTAAATGATTTTATGCTTAGAGTGGAATTAAGGCAAGATTGTTCACCTGCACCATTATATTTAACATTGTAGTGGTAGTATTTTGGTAAGTGATATTTTTCCCACTTTACCAAGATATAAATGACACTGTATAAATTTAAGGTGTACAAGGTGTTAATTTTATACATGTATATATACAAAATGAATATCACCATAGCGTTAACTAACACTTCCATCACTTCACATAATTACCGTTAATTTTGTGTGAGAACATTTAAAATTATGCTCTTCATAACTTTCAAGTATATAATACAATATAATTAACTGTAATCATCCAGCTGTACATTAGATTCCCAAGAACTTATTCATCTTATAACTGGAATTTTGTACCCTTTGACCAACATCTCCTCATATCTCCCACTACCCAGCCCCCAGCAATCACCACTCTATTCTCTGTTTTTATAAGTTTGGCTTTTTTTAGATTCCACATATAGGTGACATTATACAATACTTGCTTTCTTCTGTCTGACATTTCATTTAGCATAATGCCCTCTAAGTCCATCCGTGGTGTACAATGGTAGGATTTCATACTTTCTCGCAGCTGAATAATACCCTATTTTATTTAAAAAAAATATATATATCACATCTTCTTTATTCATTCATCCATTGATGAATACTTAAGTTGTTTTCATATCTTGGATATTGTGAACAATGCTGCAATAAACATGGGAGTGCACATATCTCTTTTAGATCTTGTTTTAATTTTTCTGGCTATTACCCACGAATGGGAATGCTGGATCCTATGATAGTTCTATTTTTAATTATTTGAAGAAAATCCACTGTGTTTTTCACAGTGGCTGAACCAATTTACATTCCTACCAAAAGTGCACAAGGGTTCCCTTTTTGCCACCTCCTCACCAACATTTGTTTTCTCTTGTCTTTTTGATGATAGCCACTCTAACAGGTGTGAGGTGGCAGCCTATTGTGGTTTTGATTTACATTTCCCTGATGATGTGTGATGTTGAGCAGCTTTCATCTACCTTTTGGTCATTTTTATGTCTTTTTTGGGAAAATGTCTTCGTTTCCACTATTCATTTTTTAATCAGATCCTTTGGGTTATCGCTGTTGAGTCATATGTGTTATTTTTACATTTTGTATATCAACTCCTTATCAGATATATGATTGCAAATAGTTTCTCCCATTCTGTAGGTTGCCTTTTTATTTTGTTGATTGTTTCGTTTGCTGTGCAGAAGCATTTGAATTTTATGTAGTTGCATTTTTTTAAATTTGTCTTTCTTGCTTGTGCTTTCTTATGTCATCCAAAAATTTGATGCCATGATTAATTTTAAATAGTTTTTTCTTCATATTTCCTTCTAGGAGCTTTATGGTTTCTGTTCTTATGTTTAGTCTTTAGCCCATTTTGAGTTAATTTATAATAATGAGTAAGTGGCATAGGACAGGGTTCCAACTTTATTCTTCTGCATATGGTTATTCAGTTTTCAGATTTACTGAAGAGACTATCCTTCCTCACTGAGTAATAAAGTATGTTGAAAATATATGTGTGGGTTTATTTCTGGACTCCTGATTCCGTTCCATTGGTCTACGTGTCTATATTTATGCTAGTACCATACTCTTTTGATTATTATAGGTTTTAATATAGTTTGAAAGCAAGAAGTTTCATGGCTCCAGATTTGTTCTGTCTCAAGATTTCTTTGAATGCTCAGAGTCTTTGGCGGTTCCATACAAATTTTAAGATTAATTTTTTTTTATTTCTGTGAAAAATGAAATTGGAATTTTGATAGGGATCATAGTTGTATTGGCTCTATAGTTGTCTTTGGATAATATGGGCACTTAAAAATATTAATTCTTCTAATCCATGAACATGGAATATTTTTCCATTTGTGTCTTTTTTTAGTCAGTGTCTTTTAATTTTCAGTGTTCAATTCTCTCACTTTCTTGGTTAATTTTATTCCTAAGTATTTTGTTGCTTTTGATGTTGCCTTCAGAGGGATTGTTTTGCTTATTTCTTTTTCAGATGTTTTGTTGTTAGCGTATAGATATGCAACTGATTTCTATATGTTGATTTTGTATCATGCAACTTTATTGAATTTATTGATTAGTTCTAATTTACTGGCAGACTTTTTAGAATTTTC